CTATTATTACTTCAACAGTTGTGACTGGCTGCACAGATGGAATTGGAAAATCGTATGCTAAACAAGTTAGTTATCCAGGGGGAGGCAGGCATATCCGGAAAGCATTTTAGCTTGCTTCATGGAATATTTCTTCTGAACTACAAGGAAGCGTAAAAGCACAAGTGTTTGTTTATTTTTAAAAATGTTCCAGCACACAAAGATAATCTAAAGACGATATAATTAATGTTTTATTTGAATGATTTTTCCTAGTTAGCCCAGCAAGGAATAAACATTGTTTTGATGAGCAGAAACTTGGAAAAACTYCAGAAAGTTGAAGAAGAAATAAGTGAGTATGAAAAGATCTTAGGTATCAGTTAATGCAAAGTTAAATTAAGCTAGTCAAATCAAAAGTGCTTTCTGATTATTTCTTCTCCATACAACAACATACACCCCCACCCCACCACACTCCCTAGAGCCAGATAAGAGATAATTTGTTATTAGATAATCTCTTCTTTAGGATCTGAATACAATGTAGAGACAAGAATAATAGTGATAGACTTCACGGGTGGACATGAGATATACCAAGACATTGGTGATAAACTAAAGGACCTAGAAATAGGAATACTAGGTAAGATATTGTTGCACTTATGCTTTCGTTTTGTTTTGCTAGTAAAAGCGAAATGCAATGCAAGTGTAATGTATTGGTCTTGCTTCTACTTTTGCCCTTGTGTCAATAAAGTGAAAACCACAGGACGCCCATGTATAAACAGTTATATTTGTTATCGTTATAGTTAATAATGTTGGAATTGGAATTGGAAAAAATGACTTCTTTCTGACATACCCAATGAAGGTATGTGTTAATGTTGGTATAGAGTAGCGTATTGCGTGCTTTTCTTGATTCTCTTCTTGATTCTTGTTGTAGGCTTTTAATGAGCAGATTAATGCTAATGATCTCTCTACTGTCATGGTAAGTTTGTAGTAGTTTGATTGAACCGTCCACCTAATCATTCAACTAGCAAAGCTACCAAACAAACAACGCAACAATCAAATAACCAACCAACCAACCTATCAACCAACCAACCTATCAACCTATCAACCAACAAACCAACCAACAAACCTATCAACCAACCAACCAACCAACCAACAAACCTATCAACCAACCAACCATACAACCAACCCATCAATCAACCAACCTACCATTCATCATTGAAGCCAAGTTATCAACCTATAAACTCCTCACATTTCATCTCTATGACCACACTGATGTATAATTCCTTTTTTCACCAGATAACTTACATAGTTTTACCAATTATGGTTGCAAGGTAAGAAACAAGGTCACAATAAAAGTAAAAGTTAAATGCATTTAAACATAACAGTTTAAAAAAAAAAAAACATAAAAACAAAAAAAAAACATAAAAAAAACTTGACAATTCATTTCAGGAAACGTGGGCTTATTATCAATATATCGTCTATATTGGCCCTGGCTCCGAGTCCTTTTAATGCAACCTACCCAGCGACAAAGGTAAAATATATAATTATTGAATGATGCTTGGTTTCTTGGTTGATGGATGATTTGTGTAGCAGTTCAATGTTAATCTTRACATCGAACAGAAAGAATAGTCTCCTTCACGGATACCTGCGCCATCACGGCTACCTTTCAAGATGGCGCAGGTAACCGTGAAGGAGACTATTGTCTGAGACCTAGAATCATCATTAGGACACTGCGTCACAGATGCTAATAATAATATTGATAATAATAATAATAATAACTACTTTATTTTATGTAGAGATATCACTCCATATAACTCAACGACGCTTTACAATATTAAAGAACTATTTACAAGTGAATATGACTTGATATTATATTCAATTCACTTACTACCTAATAAAAAATAAAAAAAATATTAAAACTGAAAAAAGACTAAATATAGTTGATTAATATATAATATAATACTAATAATTAATTATTTATTTAATATATTTGTAGGCTTTTATGGATGTCTTTGGTCAGTGTATCAGCGCAGAGTACAGCGATAAAGGAATACAAGTTCAGGTTTGTAAAAGGCAGATTTACACAGTACAATTGTTGCATACAACTTGTAGTGGGGGGGTGAATAGGTTTTCGGATCGGTGGATCTGGGCCTAAAATGGAACGCGGATTACGGATTTAAAGAAAAAATAGAGCGGATTGCCGGATTCTTAAAACGTACCGGATCACAGATTTAATGAAAATTTAACGTCGGATTTCGGATTCTATAATGGCGATAATCGTGACTGCGAATTTTGCCGATTGTCGACTTAAAAAAATCATGTAAGAACTCCCTAAGAGGCTCTGCGCTGTGTGGAAACGTCTTCGCTGAGCTTATTATGGCAAATATGGCGTAAGCGGGTCTTGAATTAGCAGGAATTTATGATTTTCTTATTATCGAATGCTATCATGATTTTGAATTCGGATTAAAGCAAAATTTTGCGCGGATCGGCGGATTTTAGAAAAAAAATGAGCGGATCGGCGGATTTGGAGACCCCTATTCACTCCCCCTTGTAGTATAGTATATGATTTTCCTACGACAAGTTGTATGATTTTGAGGTGTGGTCCAAAATCCTACTACAAGTCATAGGTTGCATTCGACTGTTGCAGGCAAATTGTAGGAGAGATTTGGAGCTTATTAGAGTCGTATACTACTAGTTGCATGCAAAAATCGATCATACCATGTAAATTGGCCTTGAGAAAGTGAATACCATGATAAACATATCTCGTATATTTAGTAATACTATAAAATGTTGTTTTGATAATAGAATGTCACACCAGGGTATGTGTCTACAAAGTTAACTAACTACATGGAAAAAAATTGGCTGGTACCATCTCCTGATCGTTTCGTTCATCAAGCCTTGGGAACTGTTGGAAAGGAAAAAAAAACGATGGGATATTGGAGCCATTCTTTATCGGTAACAAAACCACACTGCATTTTAATACGCCATTTATCACTAGAGCAAAAATGCTTTGAAAACCTTGAATTATACTAACAATTTACTTTTTTGTTGTTTAGATTTGGTTTGGGCTGAATATCATGCCAGTATCTATGAGAGATTCCATTATCTGGAATATAATGTCCAGTTTTAAAGAAAACGCCTCCAAAGAAAAAACGCAATGAGAAGAAAAGGAGAAATTTGGACACAAAGACTGAAAATGAACTTTCTTAAGGCCAAATTAGACGGCACAACTTTTACTTAAAAYCATTGAATGCAACGTATGCAAGTCAGATGTACAAGATGGCTACAACTTCCAGAGSGATTTAAAACAATTGCTTGATAGCCGCATGACAGTTGTAAGTCATGTCGTAAGGGGTCACATGCGATGGTTGTACGCAAAAGTTGTGTCATCTAATTCGGCCTTTAAGCATAGCTCCAAAAGGTCT